CAATTTCTTGATGTTTCATCTTTGTGGATGAAACTAAGGATATCACAATAAAGAATTAGTAATTTGGTGCATTTGATTTAAAGTTCTTGAAACGAATATAATAGAGTGATTCAACGATCTTCGTGTGATTGAAAGATGAAGGAGACACGATATATCCTCAAGTGTAATACTTGGGGTGGCAAAGTGAGCAGTCCGCTCTGTTTAAATCCGCTCCATTTAAGTCCATCCAAAAGCAGGGCGGGTCAAATTAAGCGTACGAGCTCAAAAGTCAAGTTCGCTCTGTTTACTAATGAATTGGCGGATTGGAGGGTCGGCCTGCTAATTATTTATTTTACAATTTGATTTACTACATAATTTACAAAAAAAAAATATTTATTACCAAAGAGGTCGACAAAATATTTTTTAAGAACGCATAATAGAACTTCGACATTCCTTAAGTCCAAATAGTTCAAAAAATAAAATAAATAAAGAACAATTACAACAAAAAAATAACGAAATAAACTCAAGCACAATAAAAAATATATCAAAATAAATAAACAATACATATCATCCTAATCCTATTTAAAAACTAACTACTAAAAGATCTCAATTAAGAATTTACAAAAAACAAACAATAATAACAATTACATTGCATAAAACATCACTGTGCATAAAATAATAGTGCATAAAATACCAACACCTGACTTTCTCACTATTTACATCATATAGACTCTTATATTGACTGATGTCTTAATAGTTAAATTCTAAATTTGTCACACATATACACTAATCAAAATCTTCATTTTCTTAAAATCAACATCTATTTCTAACGAAAACATGTGAGTTAATGTTTAACAGCTTAATTATTCAGCATGATATACAATTGTTCTTTTATTTTAAGTTTTTTCAATCAACACATGTATTAAAAAGTTATAGAAAGAAAGTTACAACTATAATTTATTTTGTTTGTATAATAACTTATAATACAATTCAATCAACATAAACTTAAGAGAAGAGTGTTATTTTTATAGTTAAATTTATTTTAATTCTAAGTAAAAAAAACTAAAAAGTTTTAACAAAAAACTCGTGGACAAAACTCGCTTCGCCTCGGTCCGCTTTTTCTAGCGGGTTAGGTGGGGTGGACCAACTTAAAATACTGAGCCGAAAACCTCAGTTCAGCCCGCCAAAAATGGTGGGTCAAACGGGTCAATCCGACAGGTCTGACCCGTTTTGTCATCCCTAATAATACTCATCTCACAAATAAAAAGATGAAATAATGATTTCTCTGTGTGTCATCTCTCAACAAATACGAACAAAAGTCCATGGTCAATATAACTATATATTTTCCTACACAATACTTTCTAAAATCAAAGTTCATCTGACTAGAGTAGCTTTATTATCTTCCTAGCATAATCTATACACTTCAATATATTACACTATAAAACTAAATACATCAATATCATGCAATATAATTTGTATAAAACAAATGTTTAAAAAAGTAATTAAATATTTATGTTACTTTTCTTTCCTACACATGCTTAATAGTATAATGTATATAAAGAGAAAGTAAAGACATATCATTTGAACCTATAAGAAAACCACCAGATTGAAAATGGTAGGTTCGGCTACAGGATGTGAATCATTCGCATGTACAACAACATCAGGGGTATGAACAGAAGCAGAGAGAATTATGTCATTAGTCGAAGATATATAACAACGGGAAGACGATCTCTCAACAATTAGAAATGATTCTCCATCAAATCATAATGTTTTTACTCTATCCATATGCCTTGAAGCTTGTTGAGACACTTCACCATACTTGATTGTTTGTCAACCATATTTCTATAATCACATAACGCAATGCATATCATTAGCAAACACAATTAACAAAAGAATAACAAAAAGAATCACAAACATAAAATACGGATTTTGTTTTTCATATTAGGGTTTGAATTTTGAAATCTAAATTTTTACAAGAGTAAATGTGGATTTAAAATTCAAATTTTCTCGCATCAATGAGAAACCGCAACACACATACAACCAGATTCAAAAAGATTCAAATAAAGGATGTAACCAAATGTTACTTAACTCATTTTTATTTAATGTAACCTAATAGTGTTTACCTAGACAGGAAAAACAAGAATGAAAAACTTATTAAATATGACAGATAAAGATACTTATTTTAAATGAAGAGTAAAAGTTGATGAAGGTGCTTGATTTGAATGAGCAGGAGTATATATTAAAAGAGAGAGATGAAAAAATATTGAAATTGAATTTGTACGATATTTGTTCGTATTTTCGAAACTTTATTTATTTCATAAAGAGGAAGTAAAAACATAGCATTTGAACCTCTAGGAAAACCACCAGATTGAAAATAGTAGGTTCGGCTACAGGATGTGAATCATTCGCATTACAAAAACAACAGGGGTATGAACAGAAGCCGGAGATATATGACAACGGGAAGCCGATCTCTCAACAACTAGAGATGATTCTCCATCAACGCGTAATGTTTTGGCTATATCCATATGCATTGAAGCTTGTTGAGACATTCCACCATACTTAATTGTTTGTCAACCATATTTCTATAATCACATAAGGCAATGCATATCATTACCAAACACAATTAACGAAAGAATGACAAACATAAAATACGGATTTTGTTTTTCATATTAGGGTTTGAATTTTGAAATCTAAAATTTTAAAAGAGTGAATGTGGATTTAAAGTTCAAATTTTCTCGCATCAATGAGAAACCGCAACACACATACAACCAATTCAAAAAGATTCAAATAAAGGATGTAACCAAATGTTACTTAACTTGTTTCTATTTAATGTCACCTAATAGTGTTCACCTAGACAGGAAAAACAAGAATGAAAAACTTATTAAATATGACAGATAAAGATACTTATTTTAAATGAAGAGTAAAAGTTTATGAAGGTGCTTGATTTGAATGAGTAGAAGTAGATATTGAAAGAGAGAGATGAAAAAATATTGAAATTGAATTTGTACAATATTTGTTCGTATTTTTGAAACTTTATTTATTTTATAAAGAGGAAGTAAAGACATATCATTTGAACATCTAGGAAAACCACCAGATTGGAAATAGTAGGTTTGGCTATAAGATGTGAATCATTCGCATGTACAACAACATCGGGGCATGAACAGAAACATAGAGAATTATGTCATTAGTGGAAGATATATGACAGAATGACAATCTCTCAACAACTAGAGATGATTCTCCATCAACTCATAATGTTTTGGCTTTATCCATATGCATTGAAAGCTTTGTTGAGACACTCCACCATACTTGATTGTTTGTCAACCATATTTCTATAATCACATAAAGCAATGCATATCATTAGCAAACACAATTAACAAAAGAATAAACATAAAATACGAATTTTGTTTTTTATATTAGGGTTTGAATTTTGAAATATAAATTTTTAAAAGAGTGAATGTAGATTTAAAATTCAAATTTTCTCACATCAATGAGAAACCGCAACACACATACAACCAAATTCAAAAAGATTCAAATAACCAAATGTTACTTTAACTTGTTTCTATTTAATGTAACCTAATAGTGTTTAACTAGACAGAAAAAACAAGAATGAAAAACTTATTAAATATAACACTGTACCCTAATAGTGTTTAACTAGATAGAAAAAACAAGAATGAAAAACTTATTAAATATGACAATGTAACCTAATAGTGTTTAACTAGACTGAATTAAATATGACAGATAGATACTTATTTTAAATGAAGAGTAAAAGTTGATGAAGGTGCTTGATTTGAATGAACAGGAATAGATATTGAAAGAGATATGAAAAAATATTGAAATTGAATTTATATGATATTCATTTGTATTTTTGAAAGTTTTTTTATTCAATATGTAATAAAATGGATAAAAAAATAAGATCTCACAGCTAATATTTATATGATGATTTTATATTTATAAATATATTTTAAATAAACTGGATCAACATTTATGAAATCCGATCGATGATTATCTTTCTTCCCGTTCTAGTGTCTTCTTTATCAGAATGATCATCTTTCTAATTTAGCATGTGCAAAGAAACAACTTACAGATCAAACTCCATAGCTCCAATAACTCTCATCTCTTTTAATCACTTTTGATAACTGTGAATATAGCTATTTTTTCCACTTTCGCCCGCACACAAAAAGAACTTGATCCAACTCTGGTTTTAAAAGCCAAGTCCCTCCAAATTTCTAAGTGCTACACTTGTAATATTACTAGTATTTAAAAATACACTTAGAAGAGTACTAGTTTTTAAGACTTGAATATAAGTATTTTTAGCTCCAAACACCAAAGTATAGTAGGCTAAAAATCAAACGGCTAGAGAATGAAGGGCTCGCCGTTTATTTCTTCCTACTATATTTTTTAAGGCTGGTTGTGAGTAGCACAAAGGTATGCACACATGGAATAGTTTCTTTTCAATAAAAAGTTCAAGTTGAACATGGCTGTTTATAGATTTTGACAGGCATGCCAAACCAATATACTTATGTAAGAACATCCAATGAGAGAATACAGTTGAGTTGGCAGAGAAGTTTTCCTATATTAAGAACAATTCCAGGAAATATTCACTGAAATTTATATATATACTGATCTAAATTCTGTACGGGATATCATAAAATAAATTATAAAAACTTAGCAGGGAAAAATTTTGACACCACCTAAGTTAAAGTTACACCTCTCCCACAACTCTACAATGACTCTTCCTGCCCTGCATTCTGCAAAACAGGCTTAAATACATATGTACAACAAATCTAGTGATACATTCACATGTCATGTGCAGATTATGTTGAATCCTCCTTCAAGGAGTCCTGCATGTACAGAATGATGGACCATAAACGCCTCCTAAACAAAGCCAGAGTACAGGCCGAAAAAGACAGTTATACCTAGTAATCAAGGAGGGAAACATGAGTACCACAAACCCTATTATTAGTTGAAGGACAACTCAACAGTTAATCGGAAGCATACCAGATCTGGATCCTTGGTTACTGTCACCTAGGCTGCCAAAAGTTTGGACCTGACATGCAAACATAATTTTTCAGTAACTTCTAAAGTCAAAGGGTCTAAAAAGATCATCTAATAAAGAATTATCATAGTAGAGGAAAAATAGCAGTAAGGGGGGATGAACCTCTGTTTGTAACTGGAATTGAATCTTCAAAGGGTGGTCTAAATGGCATGGTGTTCCTGTGATTCATTGACCGAGGAGGAAATCTCCACCCATGACCTGGTACTCTAGGTGGTTCACATGGATGACACCCATATGGGGAAGGCATATCTTCGTCCGGGTATCTAGGACCTACCCAATAAAAAATACTATTTCAATATACAAATCAACAAAAAAAGAAAAGCCATTGCATGGTCAATCAACATGAATATTTGCTACAACGACGACCATCAAAATATGTATATCTATGTCCCAATCTTACCAGAATAAGGTGGGGGTACATCCCATCTCTCTCGGTAATCATATGGAGGCGGTTTTAATCTTTCATGATTATTATTATAGAAGTGCTCTCTCTCCAAGTTCTCCGCAAAGTGTTGCCTGTTGGAGTAAGGAGGTGGTGGTGGTGGTGGTGGTGGAACCTCCCTTCGATGTCTCACATGATGTTCCCCGTGAACAAAAGAAAATTGATTTGACGGCACATGACATGGTGGCCTTATAGAATATCCTCTATTATTCATAGCAACACCATCAGAATGTTGATAATTTACTGGTGGCACAGGGAAACTGTTGAAAGAGCAAGTAGACTCTGGCATGTGTACTTCTCTATATTCTGAGACATGATAGTGAACTGCATCACTACTAGGATGGTCACTCCTTGGTGCAGCCGATGGCTGAGCCATAGGGTGAAGTGGGTTGTCTTTCACACACTACAAAAGAACAGAGTAGAAACGACACCATTAGTTATTACTTCTTGGTGCCACTGATTATTGTATAGCTCTCAAGTTAAATACAGTACAATATGGATCAGAAGTAGATGAAACAGGGTGTGAAATCTTAAGAGAAGGTTGTGAAACATACCTGTGATTCTGCATGAGCTCTTGAATTAAATACAGCACTACATGGATCAGAGGTAGATGCAACAAGGTGTGGCATAGGAAGGGGTGGAGGGGGAGGAGGTGGTGGTGGTGGTGGAGGTGGTGGGGGTGGTGGAGGGGCTGATGGTGGTAGTGGGGAAGATTGAGGCAGAGGGGCAGTGGACAGGGAGATATTCTTCTCAAACTGTGTGGCATTTCCTCTTTCAACATTGCAAAATGAATTCATTTCTACGTCACAAGTGGGAGCAACATCTTCCATTTCAAGCTCACCATCAACATCTTCTAATATATGCCTGTGTTTATCAATTGTAGAAGTCATTTCATGTACTTCAGAAATATGCTCAGGTGTGACAGCCTCAAAATTCCCTCCATCGGAATCACTCTCTTCATTGTCATCTTCATCTTCATCTTTGAGCATTCGGGGCATGCAAAATCCAGGTAGCTGCAAACTTGAGTTGCTACAATATCAAATGAATATATAAGTACACTACCCTGATCACCAAAAAAAAACTCCCAGCAGTGTATACAATATTAATAGAAAAAAATTCTACAAACAAAATCAAACCTTCCATATTCGTCAACATGCATACCCTCCATTTCTCTTATAGGGTCATCCATAGCCCTCTCTGTTTTTAATGATCGTCGTGAAAAGACCCCTGCAGAAATTGAACTATACAAATCCAATTCCCGGATATGGTGGCGAACCATGGGTTCTGGTAGGATTTTTCTCTCCAACCACAGCCTTAAAACCTATACAAAATTAAAAGATAATATTAACAAAGAATGATAATAAAACATAGCAGTAACAAATAAAAGCAGAGTTCTAACTCTACTTAAAATGAACCTTAATTAACTTGCCTTAAGACATTGCCTACGGTTCTCTTGTGCAGCATTTCCAGGAGGAACAGCAGCAGATAATAGTCGAGGGAGGACTGCTTGGATAGCGGAGGAATAAACTAAACAAACATCACCTGGAAAAATCAGACATCTAAATATCAATTATTTATCAACTGTTGGCTTCAATGTATTCTTTCTTCTCTTTTGGTCAACGAGACTCGGGCAGCAAAGCAATAAACAAGTTACCTTTTAAACCTCTAGAAAACTGTGCAATAGAATCAACAAGAAAAAACAAATCTACTCTCCGATGCAGACTTGATTCATTTTCAAGATTGTGGGCAAGAATTTCCATGACCTGTAACACAGCCCAACGTCTCAAAATATGCATATGGTATCAATAAAAGACATGGAAAATTTTATAAAATAAACAATTTTGCAAAGAAAATAAAAGCAATGCCCATTCAATGACTTTAACTCCCATTGATGCCCAGACGCCAAAAGAATGATATCATAACATACAACCACCAAGCCTTATCACACTAAGTGGGGGTCGGTCACATGGATCAAATTCCACCATAATGTTCTATTCAAGACCGTGTTCCTATCTAATTCGTTAATCTCGAGATCTTAATAACTTCTCTTATAGTTTTTTAGGTCTTCCTCTACATCTAAATGCTTGACTCCTCCCCATCTAATCTACTTCCTTACTACAGAATCTACAAGTCTTCGCTCTACATGCCCAAACCACCCAAGTCTATTTTCCACCATCTTTTCTATTATGTGTTACCTCAACACTCTCTAACATCGTCATTTCTAATCTTATCATGTCTAGTCTTACCACACATTCAAATCAAATTCTTAGTTACACTTTGACAAGAAAACTCAATAAACTCTAATGTGGTTAGAACCCATGCTTTCTGTTAGAACTCTTAATAGTATTAATATTATACTATATTAGGCTGCAAGTATTACGTTAATAGGTAACAGCCAGCAAGAGATCCAATGATAATATTGTAGAAAACCAACTATAATTAATTAATTAAAGTAGGCTCAACCTCAATGCAAGCTTGTATTTTATGATTGGGGAGGTAAAAAAAAGAAAAAACAGTAATGACTCAAGGCAACCCACTAAGCAATTGAATAAACAGTCTTCAAGAGACCTTCCCTCCAAATTATTGGTCTTGAAAAATCAAAATGATCCTCCCATGGAATCCATACTTCTCGTAGTCAAGATTAAACTCTAGTATTAACAGTCCACCATTGGGATGCAGAAACAAAATGCACCATTCACCTTGAGATCATTTTTAGAATAGGTTAAAAATCAATTCATATTTAAAAACAAGGGCACAAGAGACAACTGAATTATACTCATGCTTTTTGTTACAATATCCTCCACCCCCTCAAAGTGGAAACACAACAGAACAAGAGGAATGTGATCTTTGACTTGTTTCTTATAAAATTCACATGGAAGATTCAAATTGGATGGGGCTAAATGGTCACAAAAACTTCCAAAAAAAATCATCAATAGACAAATTACAAGGATAAAAGTCGGGCTAACTTAAATCAACAAGTATTCACAATTCAGATTTAACAGCAGAATATTTTCAGAATAGATATGGGGGAATATTACCTTAGCTGCAATGCCAAACTTTGCACAGTCAATAGCTATACGTGTTGCTCGGCCAATACTTTCCTTTGTCCTTTTCAATGTTCCAAGCATTGCTTCAAAATAAAGCAAAGCAGCCCGACCCGCTTCAGATGACTTGCCCATTGATCTTGATTGTTGAGTTGCCTCAGATCCATACTTATTTTCATCAACGGGACCAGAAAAAGTTTGTTTCTGGTGTAAATGTACATCAGGACTACAACTTCCATTGTGAAGCATATTACTACTATCTGATGTGGATACATTGCAAATTGACGTGTTTGGAGGTGATCCTTGTGGAAGGCAGTCTCCCCCATCTGTCAGGGATGTACTTGACCGAATGCCTGAAATAACCTTTTGACCCAGACAGTCAGATGTAGAAACAGAATTTAAATCCTCCTCTGGTCCTTTACATTTTACCTCTTTTATGACCTCACTCCTGAAATTGAGGAACAGTCACAGGATTATTCTAGAAATAAAAGAAATGGAGTATAAATAACTTTTACTCATCAATTGGTCTCATTTAATATTTAGCTATAACTGTAACACGAATAAAAGATATCAAGTCACTTCATAGGATTCCAGCATAACAAATATCAATATGATCTAAATACAAAAATGGATATGATCTGAATGAGGAAAGCAAAAGTCTACCAAGGCATATTCTATAACAAAATATCGTAACAGACAAGAGAGGTAATAAAAAAAAAATGTAATTTAAGACTATAAAGATTGTTTTATTTACATTCTTTTTCTAATTTTGCTGCGAAGATTTGTATAGATTAGGCCAGGAACTATAGAAAACCACAACTAAGCTTACATGTCATTTGCTCTGTCAACATCCACAACTACTGGTGTCAGACACTTCATGTCCTCAGAAATGGCAACCTCATTCCGAGGCAGATCAATATTGTTTTGAGGGGAAATTTCCTTTTTCAACACATCTACCACAGAAAGATGGCTTATTCCATTGTGCTCTGATGCATCAGATGTTGTATTTGAATGATTCAATGTTATAATATTGTCTTCACTAATTGGTGGTAATGACAGGTCAGGTGAATCTTGATTGCTTTCAACTTCATAACATTTTGAATCAAGATTTGGAGAAATTTCCCTATGAACCTGAATTTCCGAATCCGCATTAGCAGTATGACAAACCACAAAATCACTGGGTTCTTCAACTTTATATGCAGCACCTGCGAGAACATCTGTGCCAGTTTCTTGTGGTTGGAACCTGGTTGACAGCTTATCTACATGATTTGAATTAGCTGGCAAACTATGCAAAATGATATGAGAAGAATCACCATCACAGGCATTGAACTTTTGCGGCTCTAAACCACCACCTTCATGATCATTAATAGTCATATTTGGGCTTGTCTTGATAGCAGATATACAGCATGTGCCTATTGATGTCATTCTGGAGGCCGATGATTCTATACGAGCCTGACCTTCTTCGGCAGCATTAGCTGACATGGCTTCTAAAGCTCGGTGAAGGCGTTTGGATGGAGGTAAAGCAGCTTCACAATCCACAGAGCAGAATGTTTGATCTCTCTTATTATTACAAATCTGATTTTCAAAACATGGTGCCAAATTCTTTGAAGGAGAAATATTTTCCACAGTTCCAATCAGGACAGATGAGCCTGCATCAAGAGAGCTTCCATTTTCACGATTTGAGGAATCTATCATCTGGGATGGTGGGCTAATACCTTCCTTAAAGCTTTTCCCTGGAGTGTTGCTTTCATTTTCACGATTTGAGTAATCCATCATCTGGGATGGTGGGCTAGTATTTTCCTTACAGCTTTTCCCTGGAGCATTGCTTCCATTTTCGGGATATGACGAATCCATCATCTGGGATGGTGGGCTAGTATCTTCCTTACAGCTTTTTCCTGGAGCATTGCTTCCATTTTCGGGATTTGAGGAATCTATCATCTGGGAAGGTGGGCTAATATCTTCCTTACAGCTTTTCCCTGGAGCATGTAGAATGCTATTGAGCTCTCCCTCTGTGGAAGATGATTTACCCATTCTGACTCTTGCTCGTTTCACAAGGGGCAGGTGTTCATCTCCATCTTGCTCAAAGCATCTTTCTTCAGAATTTCCGCATATATTCTGGGAACTTTGACTAGAATTCCGCAAACCAAGTTCCTCGTCAAGTCTAATGGTTGGTTTGGAAGAATCAATGGTTGGCTTGGAAGAATCATTGGTTGCCCTCTTCCTATTGTGGTTTCTTTTCTTCTTATTGACCATGCCCTTTATTTTAAGATCAAGGCCTTTGTTCAGCTCATCTTTTTCAGGGCATTCAATAGTTTCCTTGTGTTTAAAATTTGAATCCATTGCACTATCCTCATTCAGGCTAAATTCATCAGAATCAATGGTAAGAATTTCAGAGTTGTTGCCTTTGTCCTCCATGCTATCATTCAAGACCAAAGCAGATGAATCAAAATCATTACAGCCAGCAAGATCAGGCGATTTCCTAAGACGTTTATTCCTTCGTACAGATGCACCCTTAGCTGCATTGGTTAATTGGCTGCCAGAATTTTTTCCACCATCATTACCGGGAGACATAATGGTTTGGATGCGCGATGAGCTTCTTCTATTCCTTCGTACTGGCATATGTCTGTCTGTTATGAAGCCCTGTGAGCACAAGTCGCCAGCAGATTTCTTTCGAGAAGAGTAAGTAATGGGCTTAGGTGATTGTATAGGAGCAAAATTATCAGTAAGTTCCTTTGATGCCTCCTTATCATGACACTCATCTCTCAATACAGCAGCTGAGTCATCTTTAGCTGGACATAACTCATGTTTGTCGATAGCGGAATTTGAAGATTTCATGGGTAAAGTGGGTGATAAGTCAGGAGCATCTTTCTGATCCTTCTCGTATGAGTTGAACGGATTTGAAATATTTGCATCAGCAACATTGCTGCCACAGTTTGCTTCACCAAGCTGTCTCTCTTTTTTTAATTTTTCATAGCTATCAACAATCTCCTTAACAGCACGAACAAAGTCAGCACCCTTTCCATGACGTTTCACAAGAGACTGTTTTTTCTCCTCGGTAAATGCTTCAACATCAGCAGGATTGCAGAAAGCACTGCACACACAAAAAATGTAAGATCTCATGTGCAAGGGAGAAACTAGATGATAAAGAGAGAACAAAGGCTTAAAATAAGTTCGCTATTACTTTTATCAGGAAAAAAAATGCTTTTTCAGTACTCAAATTACCTAGAAGTCTACACTGAAACATAGAGTAAAAATGACCACTTTTTCAACCAGATAACCAATAAAGAAATAGACTTTCAAACTTCCCTATAAGGTTGGTTTACCTTCCCTCAAAAGAACATTTATTCAAATTTATTCAATCCAACCGTATTTATCAATGGAAAATGCTAATGAGTGGTCTTGGGACATTGGATAAAATAAATATAGAAGTGGTGTTGCAAAATGGTGCATTCAACTATTAAAAAGTTTTAAATTGTTGTTTCCAATAAAAGCTCCCACTTTTGGCTTCTTTAACTAATGCTCTTAGAGCACTTGTTAGCATAACCTTTAATCATCGGATGGCCAAAAATAAGGAGCAATTCTCAAATACATAATAAATAAAAGGCTAGTTTCAAAAACAAATTTTGCCTCAACAATCTTCCCACAATCATTTCAAAACCTCAAGTTGGCATAATCGGATGTTCTTCAAGACTGGCAATGCTATGTCACACAACCATTCTTCATAAATCTCAAAAAGTAATATTTGATATATTCCGAAGTTATGAATTATGTATAAGCCCTAATGTGTTGAAATGGACTATTCTAAACCTAATGGGCCAAATACAAGTTACTATTACTAAAAATTATAAAAAAAAAATATAATGTTAACTTCTCCCCCATACAGGTGAATGAATATCTACCATTTCCAATTTGGAAACAATCCTTTTAAAGTTATTGTTGTTAATACCCTTAGTTAAAAAATCTGCAAGGTTGCCTTGGAAAGAGATATGCCAAGAGATATACGGACAAAACTTTCTATTTTTTTTGGATTAAGTGTCTGGCAACTTGAATATGCTTAGTTCTATTATGCTGCATTGGTTTTTGGAGTATGCTAATAATAGATTAATTGTCACAATAAAGTTTCATTGATTCATCTCACTTTATCCTCAAATCTATCAAGATGATCTTCTATCATAGTAGTTCACATATATCATGTATCTTCGCCATAAACTCTGACACTGACACTGGATTTGGATGTTACAATTTGTTATTTACTCTTTCAAGTCACAAATTCCAACTAGGAAAGTACAATAACATGTAGTTTTTATCCATAATTGACTATATATAGTTAGCATTAATATATATGCTTCAAGACCTGCACTTCAATTTCGTTCGAACAAAATTAATCTCCTCCCGTTCCTTTCAAATATTGCAAAGTTAGGAGTGCAACTAGTAAATAAATCTTCTTCCTTTCAAATATTGCAAAGTTAGGAGTGCAACTAGTAAATAAATCTTCTTTGGTTTGTTCATGAATCGGATGGCTAAGCTTTCCTATAAGAACAGCATCAGGTCTAATATGTGATAGGAATATAACTTTGTCGACTAACCTTTTAGACATTTCCTTATAAATTGCAACATCTTCTGCATTCCCCAACTTCATATCAAATCAATTGATCCAGTTGAAGGCTTGCATGCTTCCCTGTCAACCTTTTGAGGAAGATCAGTTATGTATTTTCGTCGGAATATGAAAGTTCCTTTTTTAGAGTGGGTCGTTGGTCCCATTAAATCAGTTCAGTTGGAAGTTGTGCATGCACATAAGATACAGAGGCGCATGTTCAAACCCACGACATCCGACTTGTTCACCTTTAAAAATGTGAATTCTAACCACTAGGCTAGTTGACAAAAAAAAACAAGTGGGTTATTACAACTCTCTTAAAACACTTCAATTTTTCCAAGGCCTTAACCTCAAGTTCCTTGACTGAGTATTGTTCTGGTCGTAGTTGCTCATCTTCATCATTATATGTCACTATAACATCATTTACATACACTAAAAACATGGTCCTTTTAACTTAGATTGAAGCTCAGACCTACCATACCATAACTTTAGTGAAACTTTCAAACCATGCTAGTGATGATTGTCTTAAGCCCAAATAATACAATGGCAATTTATATTCAAGGGCAATTCCATGTAAATCTTATATTCACGTTCTCCGTCAAATTGTTACAAGCTCCAACCACATTAGTTGCTAAGGATAATTTCACCTTGACAATACCCATTTTTGCTATTTGAGCAAATATTTCCAAGTAACCCACTACATAGGTTTGAGTGAATCATTTGGCTACCAATTTTTCATTGTACCTTGCAATAGATCCATCATCCTTATGTTCTATGATGTATTTGCACCTACCGATTTCTTTCAATATGGCAGAGGAACCAGTTCATTGTTCTTATCTCAAGCTTCCATTTCCTGTCAGACAATGCCTCGGCTAGAGAGGTAGGTATCACAGTAGTGTTTTGGTTTGTGGGGAAAGCTTTATGAACAGGTGAGATTTGTTCAAAGCATAGATAGTAGGATAGGGGATAGAGTGACTTAATGGTATATGTTCTAGTATCTTTTATAAGGACAGTTGGAAGATGTAGATCTCTAGCGTAACGGTGGAGTTGGATTTTGGTTCTTTAGTTTTACTAGGTTTGATCCTCCCCCTTCTTGGATAGAAGAGTATCCTACAAATAAATATTTTAAGGCTCTGGAATCAAAATTCCATCTACCATCACTATGAATATGAACAAACAAAATACACTCAAATATTTCGAGAATAAGATTACTAGATGTCAACACATCAAGATAGAACAAAAAGAAAATCTCCATAGGAGGTTTAGAGGCATGGGCACAAGGTGAACGACATATGAGATAAGATTCAACAAAAACCAATTTCCCCAAAAATTTCTTGGGAATCTTATTTTGGAATAACATAGCTCTAGTTTGATCTAACAAGTGCCAATTTATTCTCTCGGCTGTCCTATTTTGTTGAGGGGTTTGGCGAGAAAAGAAGTTGTCGTCAAGTAGATTAGGGGGAAGATCATAGCTATTCAAGTAAAAAAGGTCATTCCATTCTCTAACATTTCCAATCATCCTCTCCAAATTCTAGTCATAGATAACCCAAGCATTGATATAAAAAAAAAATTACATTATAGGGTTTTGGTGAGTTTTTGCAAGGAAATTGAGATGATAGAAAGTTTGAAAATAATAAGGATGTTTTGTAGGATTATAGATGTACTTATTTGAACATCTTCTCGACTTGTAGGTATACGGGTACATCTGATGTGGGGTATTTCCTTGTTAGTAGGACAAGGTGAATAAGTAAAAGAAGTGTGTGGATAAGGGTAACATGAGGTCAATGGCTCTAGAACCTAATACCAATACTATCTAATGTCGGTATTTTCTTATCATTGGGACAATGTGAATAAGTAGGAGAGGTGTGTGGAGAAGGACGCCATGAAGTTAGTGGCTTCAGAATCCAGTTAAAGCAGGTTTTCCCTGTTAAACTAAGGGTGGGTTCGAGTGGGTCCCCAAGGATACAGGTTATGTTGCCATGACTAGGTGGTGGAAACAAAAATATGTACTTCAGACATAAAAGTGCCTATTGGCTTTTACAATTTACTTAGGGTTGACCTTCACCCTTTTTACTATATCTTGGTTAGGGATTGACCTCACCCTACTATGTCTTGGTTAGGTTGAACCAATCTTTTCTGACATTTTGATTAATGTCACAAGACTTCGTCTTACTCAAAAGAACAAAAACAGCCAACAAATAGTGTAATGAGCCTCCAAGGTACTTCAACGAATGAAAAGGTGAACACCCAAAACAGATAGAGGATGAATCAATCTAAGTTCGAGATTATAATGAAGTGACAAGAGTGGCAAAAAATCTAGGGTAAACTCATAAACAAGCATCAAATAGAGAAGAAACCATTGAAGGAATGGAACCTCTGCGACGTGGCAAATGAACAGTACTTGTAGGAAAAGATAACACAACAGTAGAGGAGAGTTTGTTTGGCTTTGAACAAAGGTAACGCGGCTATGATGGTGGCTAAGGTTTAGTGCAAGCACTAATAAACAATAGCTAGCCAAACTAGGCATTAGCTTTGTAACTAAGTGTGCTGCTGACTCAGTTCAATAAGGTAGGTAGTGATATAAATATTTGTCCCTAGTTCAATTGTAACTAACAATTCAATTGATACAAATTCTAGTAATTCAATATGAAATCATTCTCTATCGCTATATTCTATAACTTCTTTGGTTTCTGTTACTAATCTGTTCAAATAGGTTGTTGCCTAATGGATTAATGGGCCAAATACAAATTACTAGAATTAAATATAATAATACATTATTTACAACAATAAATCTCCAACCTCAAATGCAGCAGTTGAAACCCTCCTCCACCTCACTCATCAAAAATACAAATACAATACAAACAATAATATACTAGTACTGACTCATTATACAATCACAACTATAGAAGTATTAATTTTTGCCAATTAGTTGATGGAATAATAAAATTTGAGATCACTATTTTTGCTCCCAAATACTTCTCTACCACTGTAAACAAGGTTTACCCTTGAATTTTCATAAGCATAATCCATTTTCCCACCTATTGGGAATTCTAACTAACAAACTATGCTATGCCAGTTCCCGTAAATTTAATACAGTTCATGCAAATGAGCTTGATCCTATGCCATCTTATCTGCGAGTAGAACCTACAATACAAGGCTTGAAGAAGACTCTCAAATTATGTAGCATTTCAACGCCTAATAAAACCTCCCTTAATTGAGAAGGATGGCCTAATCTATTAAGTACCCATCATGAGTACATTTTGAAGAGTACTAAAGCTAAGATGGTCAAATCTATGTTATCAATCTTGGATAGCGGTGAGACGCGGCCATTCACAAATGTGGAATGGAACGATAGCGGGGTGCAGAACGGCCGTTATTTTAGACACGCAGACACTAATATAGTTAATACTACTAAACACAATTGTTAAAAACTAAAATTAATTAATCAAAATTCATGAAGTATTCGCATTTAAAAATAAAAGCCAAGAGTCTTTTAAGCAAAACATATTTCCAAATGTCGATAAAATCCAATAAAATAACCTTGCTATCATTAAAAAAATTAAGGGTAATATCATATACAGCTGCGCGGTCGGAGCGACCAAGTCAGAGTGGCATCGTTCTGAATCCAATCTCATTATCGCAGTTGTTCAAGCCAAGTCACCCAATTGTGTCGGTACAGCACGGCCATGCCGAGATAACGGCCGAGTTTGATAACATAATTTCAAATATATTATGCCACAAAAAACAAAGGGAAAGTGTGTGGAGTTAGTGTTAGTGAAAGTTACATAAGGCATGGTGCGGAACCAGGTTATCACTTTGCCAAAGGCAATAAATATGATAATTCAAAAGGCACCAAATAGTTGTTCATCTTGGATAGCGCTCTATAGCACAGATCCCCTAAAATGATATAGTGGTATAGCAAATCCCCTAAATCAGTGTACAAACAAAGTATACATAAATACTCAAAAATAAAATAAAAAATACACAACATTAAAGAGACCATGATATTGTCATACTTAATAGTTAAAGAACCTCAAGTGTAGAGCAATAAATTTTAAGCAAAGAATAAGAACATAACTAAATTAAAAGTAGGAAGAAGAACAAAGCAATTGTTTGAGCAAGAAAAAGACACAATTGTTTGTGAGCAAGAACATAACAGATTGAAGAATAGAACATTACCCTTAAAAGAGTTTGGATTGAAATTTATAATCTTAAAAAGACAATGTATTTAACATTAAAAAAAAAGAATTTGAAGAATTTATTCCCAAAACCCTAATGGTGGATGTGATAGTGGTTTGGACCGCAACCAACGGCCGCAACAACTTCTATTGTTGACGATGGTTCGCAAGCTAAAAGCGTCAAGCCAAACCCTATCACCGCCACGCTATTGCACACTATTGACAACATAACCAAATAACTCAGATGTCACATCAAGTGAAGTTAACACCACCACAGTGGAGCAAAGCATCCCATCAAAACCATATGGAAGTATAGCAGAGTCTGTTGCAAACCCCAATTAAAAACTGAAAATAAACTCGAAAACCATATATACTACCTTTGTCCCTAAATATAAGACACTCATGAAATTTTTCTTTATCCCTTTTATAAGACTCTCTTCAAATTTGAAAAGTGCTTTAATTATTTCTTTACTCATATACCCATAAATATATTGCATTTTTTCTGCAATATGCATTAAATACTCTTACACAAACATTAAATAATTATCTCTCCTAAAAATAAACTTGCAAAATTCTACAAACAGTCAACAAACTTAATACTCCAACCAAAGTTCTTAATTCTTGTGATTTACTCTAGGGGTCTTATATGCATTAAATACTCTTAACACAGACGTAAAATAATTCTCTCTCATTGATAAACTTGAATAGTTAAATTGTGTCTAAAGAATTATCTAGTGTGAAAGGAGAGTTTCTTTGGGGTAGCCTTGAGTGCAAGGTTATCATCTTCGTTGTAAACCTATTGTGTATTCTCTTTTAATCTCTCAATACCAATTAAAAATCTTTCATTTGTTTGCAATATTTATTCATTTGAATATGTTTTCAACCACTATTCTAGGAATTCTATGTTGTTTAAAGAAAAGATCCTAGCTAGGTTAGGATTACAACTCGGCTTGTTAGCTACATGCTGTCTGACTGAGTCAGCATAGCATGTATAAATCATAAAAATGAAGTTCACAAAACTCGTAGAATTAGAAAAACAATAATAAATTAAGAAACCATTTTTTGGTTTCTGTTGAACAACTTATTAGTATTGGCATTATGTTATTAGGTTGCAATTATTATGTTATTAGGCAACAATTATTATATTCGCCAGCAGTTACTATTAGGAAGTTATGGAATAAATAGGGAAAGGAAGAAAAAATAAGTAGGGATTTGGATTTTATTTTGGGACTGTATTAATGGGGAGAAACCTGAGTTCTTGAATTTTTTAGACTTGAGACTCTCAAATTTCTTGGGAACCTGTTGTAATTTTATTTGTCTATGTAACATTTCAATTCTGTAACAGTGTATGTAGGTATTTTGTCTGTAGGTATTCAATAAACTTCCATTGTTACTCAGTATAGTATGTATTCTTGATACTAGTTTCTCTTAGTATCTTGCTCTTTTCTCTCCTGCATCAAAATCCAATATGGTAATCAGAGCTTGTGCAGCTTAGTTCCATGGCTCCAGATCCTCCTCTGTAATTTCTTCCTTTTATGTGTAAAACAGAGAGATTCCTCATGTCCTCCACCTGAAAATGGCCAGCTTATCATCTAACGTTTCTGCCTTGCTTTGTGTCATCACTAGCAAACTAAGCTCCAGAGAATGCTAGACTAAGTGAACATTCATAATTGTTTTGGATTCTATTGATGTGTAATGTTAGCTGTTCTAATGGGATACAGCTCAACATTCATAGGTACTAAGTCTAACTAATTCACTGTACCCTATAAGCATGAGTTTGCTTAACTTGTAGCATTAGAATAACTAATGGAATCAGAAACAGTTTTACCATTTATCTCCGGTAGTAGTATCATATTCTAAGAATCAATACTCAAAAGGATAGTAGCAACATAGTCTAATAATCAAACTCAAAAGGCATAACTTAAAGAAAAACATGTATTAAATATTCAGCAACAGAGCATAAAGAGAATCATTAATCTAAGGCAGAACTACTAAAAATAAGTCAGTAAAAACAATGACATGGTTATTATAGGCAGAAGGATTAAGAATGAACGAGATATGCTAAAATGAAGTTTAAAATAGTCACATATATATATATATATATATATATATATATATATATATATATATATATATATATCATGCCCTACTAACATATTTAAATCTGGTTTAACTGTCCGACAGGCACAACCAGAACAGGCCTTAGTTAATAGTTGCTACTACTAAAAAAATTCAAAAAAATATATGTACCATGTAAACAAACATGGTCCCATTATGTAGCCTATGATGGCTCAAGATTATAATCTTGTTATATACACTGAGATAAAACAACAAACATGTGTTCTCAAATAATACAATTGTGCAAACTAAAAAGGAGAATCAGCATTTCATGTAAATACAATAAACTATAAGATGCAAACCAGCCTAGTGTGAAGCAAGCTCCTAGAAATAATGATAGTGAAGAAGAGAAAACTTAATAACAAAACCAAACTGAATACCCATAAGCTATCATAGTACAATTGATGTCATATGATTCTTACACTAAGCTACCTTTCGTCAAAACAAAATACTTTAGTTGCCTTGCCTTGATTACAAAAGTTGAGAATGATATATTTTCATTACTGAATTTTTATATTTCTATATCAATTGTTATAAGCATACTTACATCTGTTGGGTGCCAAAAAAGTAAACAACCACTTTCTTCCAATCGGTGGAGTAACCCCACTTCTCCGGCTCACTGACCTGCCAGAAGCAAAGAACATGAACTGTCAAATGAAGTATCAACAAACCAAGAAAATAAAAAATAATAATCACTTTCTTCCAATCAGGTTTTCTAGAGTTTGATGTAAAAAGTGAGCAAATTTTCAAACAGACACAAAAACTACGTTCTACAACTTCTAGTCAACATTTGGAAGAAATTTAATCTGGAGTCCAGGGCTCAAACCCGGATCACCATATTTCTCCATCCCTACAAGTGTTTATTTGAGTATGAGTTGCCTAATAGCAAAAAAAGTCAACTGTTAGAGGAAAAATCAGCTCTGAACATTTCCAGTTCAACCATGATTACAGAGTTACAAACACACTTATGGTGCGTCAAATTGGAAGTTGAAGGATGAGACGGAAAGATATTGAAATTGAAGATATAAAAACTACATTAGGGAGTAAATTCGTGTTTTTCCACATTATTATGTTGTCTTTGAGACAAGCATAGGATATATAGCAAATTAGCAATATTAAGCTTTTATCATAAAAGAAACTACTTCAATATAACATAAACTCCCTTAAATACTAAAAGGGACCTAAAGTTCAGGGGATTTCTTCATTTTAGATGCTCATCTTCCTCCTAAACTTTCAAAATCATTCATTTCTAAGATAATCCCTCCGTATCCTCCCATTGTGAGGCTATTGGGTTGAAAATGGGAGCTCTTCCATTCTTGGTACTAGTAGATTCCTTCAGATTAAAGATAAAGCTGCCCGCAGAAAGGGGAAAATAATATGAGATAGCCTAAAAGTATTTATTTTTACCAAACATTGTGAGGCATATAAGCTTTATCATCGATATCAATTACTTACATAAAAAAATTAAGATTGTTTACCTTCAGTTAAAGTATTACCTACCAATCATAGAGTTATCTATTCATCTTTAATTTCCCAGGAGGAGTTGGATAGTGATGGGAAACTCCAAGCAGGGGTCTCATCCTATTGTCACTAATTTCTGCCTTATCCATAAGGAACAAGAAGTTTCCTTCTCTAAATAAAATCCTCTTTGAATTTTAGTAGTAATTAGGAATGATTAACAGGAAAAAAGTAAAGTTTATGAATAAGAAATTGAATATAAGACTAGGATCCACAAAAATAATGAACAATTACATAGACACACACAGAATCAGTATTTCTGAAGTCCACCAACATGCAGTACAGATGCAAGTGAAAAAAATAGAGAAAGACATAAACTTTTAATTATAAAAAGCAAAAATCAAAACAGCAGTTACCGTGGCAGGCCAAGCAGGGAACCCCTTGACTTTAGCAAGAACGAGATCGCCAACTTTCCATTTACGAGCGGCGGCCGCCGCCGCTGCTGCTTTGCTTCCTCCCTTTTTACGGCTAGGGGCCATCGGAGGAAGCAGGCGGCGCTATTGTCAGATGAGAGGGGGGAGTGGTGTGAAGTGAATCGAATTCCGAAATCGGTTTATAATGGAACGAATTGGCACTGAGTTGAATTTGCCTATGGAATTGGCAGGCATTGAAACGAGATGATGGATCGGGAGTAGAAAATTGGTCTGAGAAAGAGCGACAGAGTGTGCCAACGAAAACCCTAATTGAGAGAGAGAGAGAGAGAGAGAGAGAGAGAGAGAGAGAGAGAGATTTTGTGTGACCACGCAGCGTAAGTGGTTTTCAGAGAGATATGAGTTGTTAGGTAGAAGCTAGGGTGCGCAAGTAGCATGGGCTTCTGGTCTTTGTTGATATGGGCTAACGTGCGCTCAGTGCTGACAATGCCTCTTTCAATACTACGACTAACTTCGGTGCACGTGACTTGATGTTGGGCTAAATTATGGGCGTCGTGCCTATTTTGAGGCTTTAATGGGCTCTGTTAGATTCTACGTGATATAGAGGATTGCTATATCACCTCACATTTTAAGGAAATTGGATCCTCTGCGCCAAATAAAATCTTGTTGTCTTTCCATCAGAATTTTTTTTTTGTCTGATCTTGATTTAATGGATTAAATTAGAGCTGTCAAAATAGACTATTTCGCATGGACTAGACTGACATATGCCCTATAATTGGGCAAGACCCAATCCAGTTTAGCCTAAGGTCATATCCAATCAGGAGATTGGGCACAATATAGTCGTTGAGCACAATATAACTGTTGGGCACAATACGACCGTTGGGCACGATATAGTCGTTGGGGACATGCCCCTTGCGCGCTGGACAGTTCACGCGACCAACTGTCCCTCCGAAACTCATGGAGACAGTTGGATCAGGTCAAAGATCACGCGCTAGATCTTTCACCTGGCAGTCTCCTATTGGTCGGCCAAATATTTCGGCCACATCAGAGACCTTGGCCTCGCGCTAGGGGGAATCTCATAAATACCCTCTCTCTTGGGAGGTTTAAGTATTATAATCAATCTCACTTATACCTAAACATTCGTACTTGCTTTCTCTCTAGCCCAAACACTTACTTTGGCAACGATCCATTTTGATCACTCCAGACCTGTGGCGTCGTCTGTGGGAACACCAGCTCCCTTGTCTTTTTGAACCCAAATTTCCCAATCTTCCTAAACAAAAGACCAAAGTTATCTCTCTGAACCTTCATCATCATGGCCTCTCACCATATTGATGTCCATCAAGATTCTGTCATCGCCACTCTAGGTTGCGGCGAAACCCTCATTCCTAGAGCTGCCACCAGAGGAACTGATCACATGGACGAAAAACCGGCATCTCTTGACAACGTGAAGCCTTGTGTCCAAAGTTTCAACCATGTATACGAACCTATCATTGTCCCACAAGATGTTGACCCCTGCACTACAGCCTTCATTTCCGCTCTCAATAAATCTAACTATTTGCTCTTCCAACAAGGGGAAAATCCACATGCTGGGGAACATCATCATAGAGCGACCTCCCCCACGAGGATCCCTCGGCCCATCTTGTTGGTCACATTCTCCTCTTCAGAAGCGTCGCCGAGATGAATCTAGAAGCATCTCCCTAATCAAAGAACGGTCCAAACTGGAGAAGCATGAACACGAGATCACCAGAACACGCGATCGTACCCCTCCCCGAAGGTTCAGACACTCCTTAGCACCCAAAAGGCTCAGACCTTTTGGAAATTCTCACGAAGAACACTAAAGCTGACACGAACGTTCTCCTCAACGCAGTAGAAGCCGAGGATGCAATCATTCTTTTAACAAGTGTCATACCCTAAATTTTTCCTACCCCTTTTCAAAATACTTTCGCATTTTTCAATTCCATTTTCATTTTTTTGCATTGCCCGCATAATTTCACGTTATTTAGACACGTGTCCACCTGCAAGTGGTTGTTTTTTCAATTTTATTTTTTTCGCCCAATAAAGGCATGACACGTGGCCTAAAGACTTTTTATGTGAATATTAAATCTTTTTTAGTTTCCTAAGCTTTTTCTTTTTAAATGTTACTAATAATAATTTTAAGTAATTAATAATGTTTTTGTTTTTGTTTAGTTTGTTTTTATATATATTTGTTAATATTTATTTAATTGTAATTGTTAATATTTATTTATTAAAGTTATGTTAGTTAGTATTATAAATGTTAGTTTATATTATAATTATTGGTTTTAATATTAATAAAATGAATATAAAAGAAATTGAAAAGAAAATTAACAAAAAGAAAAAAGAATCAGATCTTGAGAAGGAGGATGAAACACAGACCCAACATTTGGAGGCCCACTCGAATGTATAAAGGAGAGAGGAATTCATTGTAAAAACATAACCCTAATTTTTTTTACTGTATATCTCCTTCCTCTCTCAGCAAAACGACGCCCCCAAGAAACCCTAATTGGGACTATTCATCATCTTCTAAAATCAAACGGTTGTCATACTACCCACTTCTGCCCCTCCCAAAAACGAAAGCCACAAACCCTAACATCTTCCTCCTTCTCCTTCAGATGTCATTCCACTCATCACCAACCTTCTCTCCCCAACGAAACCCAAACGGCGCCGCTAACCTCGCCAAAACCCTTCCACCCTTTTCTCTGTTCACCTCAACCTTCCTTTTCCTTTCGTAAGCGATCCCTTCACCATCACGAAACCCCTTAACAAACCCTAAATCGTGAACCTCCCTCCCTCAAAGCAAAAATGGCGCCGCTCAAACCTTCCCCTTAAATCCTCAAATCTCGGTCACCTACCTTTCCTTTCATCACTGCCTTCAGTCTTCAAACTTCTCTTTCACCGTCCCCAACTCACATCCTAAAACCATAATACCCAATCGCATTTTTTTGGCTTCAAAGAACTCGGTTTTTAGAAGAACGCGCGGTGGAGCATTGGCGGTTCATCGACTCCTCATGGAAGCGCCAAGTTCAATGGTACAAACCGGTTTCACAAACAGCAACGACGAAACTTAGCGACAAAACTGCAGTGACCAGATAATGTCCTAGCCATTCGTCCCGGCTCAACTGCTTTTCAGCTCGTGACATTTGACTCTATAGCAACGAAACAGCTTGTCAACGGAGCTTTCGTTTTCAACTCAACAAGCCACCTATGATCTTGGTTGGTTTCAGCTTTTTTAAGTTTTGATTTAGATTGTTAATGTTTTTTTATTTCTTAAAATTATTGCTGTTACGACTTGATTTGAGTCGTTGTGTTGATCTTAGTCGTTAGATTTGTACCACAACATATTGGTATTGTTAGTTTTTACTCTTCATGATCTTTGTCATATAGTGAAAACTGGTTTTGATATGAGAAATTATTGTTGTTTTTACCTTGATATTATTTTAAAATCAGAGGTCTGCGATAGAAAGTGTGTCATTTTACTTGAAGTTTGTGAACTTTGAATTTGGTGTTATCCTTTCTACTAAATTTAAAAGAAAAGCTCACGTGGTGTAGTTTCACTATGTTAAAAAGTTGGTGACGCTTTAGTCATTTGGAATTTGTAGATGGAAGGATGTTATACTATGTTGATGTACATATCGATACAGTTGTGGCACGGTTGGACATTGCCCCTTTTGGGTACATTTTGTTTCTTATCGTGTACCAGTTTATTAGACTGTTATAATGGTTAATCTCAGCATTGATTATCTATGGTTTGCTTTAAGCGGTTTTCCATTAAAATTTTCGTCAAGTTTCAACATATTACTTTTCGAATTTCAAATACATTTCATTTTAAGGTTTAATATTTCTGTTTTTTTTAAAGTAAACAAAAAAATTTCTTTATTTAGTATATAGTTTAATTTAAGATAACTCATGTTATTTTAATAAAAATTTAGACTTATTTTTCAAACTTATTTCCAAAATTTGACTAATTACTTTTTCTAATCTTAAATTCAATTTATTTTTAACATACAAACTATTTTCTTAATCAAATCACTTTCAATTATTATTAATTTTTCTAATCTTAAATCAATTTATTTTTCATTACTAAAATTATTTTCTAATCAAATCACGAAAAAACTAAATCCTTGAAGTTTAGCACTTCTTGGGTTTTTGGACGATCATTATTGAGGCGTACACCTTAAGTAGTGTATCGTTCAACTTTTCGTTTTCAAATACGTTTTTATTCGGACAAAGAAATATCACCAGAGTCTAGCATTCCGTGTGACGTTTTTGTTGTCCGTTCGTTTCTTCTTCATATTTTAATCGCCCAATTAATTGGTTGTGAGGTCGACGTCTCATTTACTAAATAATCATTTTTTCTTCCAAAATTTTCAAATTTAATCTCATTTTCTCGCCTTTCACACACAAATTATTTTCATGTCTTATTTCAATTCAAATTATTTCAAAACATTTTTATTTTCTCGATTAAACTTCGAAAGAAGGAGGTTTTTGGAATCTAGCATTCCTTGGATCTTCGAGTGAATAATCCCCGAGGCATGCCCTTGGGTTGTCATTCACTCAATCTTTCGACTTTTCAAACTAAACCATTTTCAAATGCTCTCTTAAGTCGATTGCTTGTACGCATTTGCAACCAACATTTCGCACACACTTCACAATTCCTCGTGGTTTCGATATTAGGAGCACCCTTAGGGACTAATATTGTTTCTCACAATCTAACCCTTGACACGTCGTCAAGCCGGTTCCATTTTCAATCAAATCCTCAACTCATTGTCGAGCCATCTTCAAACTAACCTCTTTTTGCCTTGCATTCTATTTTCGATTCAATCTTTTTTACAAACGTTTTCTTAAACTTACGAAAGATGGAGATTCTCGGAGTCTAGCATTCCTTGAATCTTTGAATGACTAACTCTCGAGGCATGCCCTTGAGTTGTTATTGGTTTATTCTTTCGATTTCAAAACATCCAACTCTTTATTTTCAACCTATTCAACCCAATTTCCGAAAGAACTGAGTTCTTGAAATCTCGCATTCCTTGAATTCTTGAATGACAAGCTCTTAAGGCATGCCCTTGGGCTGCTTGTCATTCATTATTTTG